ATATCCAAACTTGAGCAATTATGCCAGGATAAGCTGCCCCAACATAACCACCACACCCTTCCATGTCTCTAGTGGTTTAAGTGAAACTAAACCCCTGTAACTTAAGCCTGTTTCATTTAGGTTTACCACGACAGGCACTTAGCTCACTTGCACCAATATAGAAGTGGAGATAGAACAGTCAAAAGAGAACAGCACATTCCCCACTCCCACCCCTAATTAAACTAGTTCAGTTACCTCTGTCTGAAATACTGGGGCTGCAGATGCAATAATGCATTAAGTGACAGAGAAGGCAGCTGGGGCCTGGCTGTACATGTAGGACACTGAAGCCCATCCCTTCCCAGGGAGCTCCAGAACATGACTGACTGGCCAACCAGCCGCAAGAAGCTACCAGAGGTTAGAACAGAGGAAGCAGCCAAGTAAGAGGGCAAGTAGGGGCTTTTAGCTCCCAAAAGGGTATGGGACACAGCTAGGGATTTGGAGGTGGGTACTCAAAATAATAAGTTATTGTTTGGGAGAGTAAGTGAGCCAGACTACCAGACAGCTTGCATCTCAGAGCCACACTAACTCAACTGTGTACTTATGATGGATAAGGATAGAAGGGCACTCACATTCAGTGGCTTGGAAGAGTAGTGGGCACTGCCAAGCAGTCTAAGTTTGTGCTTAAGTTTTGGGGGCAGTGAATTACAACCTACGTGATCACAGAAGCCTGGTATCAGAAGCCCATAAAAGCAAAGAGACATCACCAAAAGTGGCATCATTTAAATACTCACCATTTCATGGGATACGAGCCAGGGATGAACATCCTTTATCCCAAAAAATTCTTTGTAGTTCCTGCAGAAAATCAACCCAACCTTAAGAAAGCATGGACCAAACATGTCCTTTATGTACCATACCCACTTCTGTGGGGTTATGCCATGGATGACACTGGTCTGAGTTGAACCAGCTTGGATCATGAATTGGTCCTATCTTCTTGGTTCTTGCTTTAGACAAACACAACACTGTTGTATCTGAATCCATGAATGTACCTCTTGGGTACAGACCCTGTATCGGTCAGATCAGTCTATGGGACTTAGTCTATGACAAAGGCTTTCACAGTAATAAACCAAATTATTAGAGCCAAAACAAAAGCACAGGGAGAAGATACTTCTGTTAAGCAAGCAACAGAGCGAAGACTAACCAGCCAACTGTAACAAACAGTTTTCTCAAGCCAGCTTGGCTAAGAGGAGCCATGTTTTACCTCAGTTAGGGTTAATTTGGGTGGAGAAAACAAGCCATCTCTCTGAAGATGCCGTATCAAACAGAAAATTTTAGTGACACTAAGCAATGCATCAATCCTCATCCACGTGAGAGTCCAAGGGGCCACACACTGTGCACACAAGTATAGGTATGACGCATTTTGCAAAGTCAGGGTTTAATACAGTCATTCGACTAGATGATCCTCAATGGTTTGGAAGAACCCACCCCAAGTCATTAAACAAACAACCACCACCACCTTTTCAAGAGACTTTAAAAACCACCACAGCATTAACAGAAACTTTGTCTTAACAGAACACAATTTATTTGGCATTTGGATGAAATGTTTCTCACAGCATCTTGAGGGGAAAAAAAAAGAAAAAAAGATTAGTGCCAACCCCTCAAAAAGAAAGAAAAAGAAATTAAACCATAAAAAACAAAAATGTCACAGGGACTGAATTATTACAGTATCAAATTTCATTTCTACATGGTATTTCATGGAATATCAAAATCTTTTATACACCGTCACAGTTAAATTCAGTCACAAATCAACTACACAAGAGAAGTCTGCAAATGCAGCCTTGGCTAAAAGTATTTTTCCAGAGAAGGTAAAAAGCAGTGCCTCTTTCTCTCTCAGGCTTTCAGGCATACAAATGTCTGACATTCGGATCAGTCCAGCATACTGATGAAAAGGCTGCCAGCACAAAAACTCTTCTGACTTCACCTCCAGCCTACTCTGCTTTCCAAGGTGCACAATGCCAGAAAATTAAAAATCCATTAAAATTGTACCTCAGCAGCCAGCTAATTCAAAATATTGGTAAGGAAAGGGATCTTTGTTTTAATTCATTTTTCTCAATTAAACTACGGTTGTCTTAACTGAAATGGGATCAGTGATGGAAGTAAAATGTAGGGGCTGATACCAATTCACTTTCACTGTCTCTGTGAAGCGTAAAGGATTTAGAGGACTAGCCATCAACCAATACAGGGTGGGGGCTGAAAGGCAAATTCCCCAGAAGTACTGGGTAAGTTTCCCAACATTCACTTAACAAGTGGGTTAAAAAAAAGTTCTAGTAGGGGGAACAAAATAAATAATGAAATAAGCTGTGTTTTGTATGTAGTTAACATCAAAACTTAAGCTCTTTGCCACTGGAAATGCACAACTAAAAGATAAGAAATTTACAGCTTTGTAATCCCCAGAAATTTAGTTAAAGAAAAGCTTAACGCACCTTAACTTCCAGTGAAGAGGAAGAGAGGTCATGGAACTCATTTCTTCCAAGTAAAGACTGGGAAACCTGGAGCGCCTAATACTGCATTCCTTAGGCTGGCAAAACTCCTCCTAGCATCAATGGGAATGCTGCCTGAGCAAATACCGCACAATTGGTTTTGCTCTTCTATTCTGGTATTCTGTGTCCTCTCACAGAAGGACAATAAGGGACAACTGAGTTCAAGGGTAGATGAGCTAAACAAGCAACAATTCCAGCCACATCTGAATTTTGATCATCTGGGCTAGAATTAGAACCCACTGGAAAAAATCAAACTACAACCACCTCTTCTCTTGGGCTAGGAACAGAAATCACACAAATCCTTGTATAAGTGATCAAAAACCAGTTCAAATCTGTAACACAACAAAAATTCGGTGCACAGAAACTGCTTTCAAAATGTTCGAAACTGGCTGAAGATAAACCTGGCTGGATGTAGTATCAGACTCAACTGATTTAGGTTAAATCAGTTTCTTGTACTTCTGTCCCAGATCCCCTCCAGATTCAACTCAACCCCCCAGCATCCCAGAATACTTTGCACCTCCCCAGCCACCCGTGTCCCCCCCAGGATAGGCAGGCTAGCTTTGACCCAAACTTGTCTTCTCCAGCTGAGTAGGAAGGCATGCTCTAGCACCACCTGGCTTCTGGCCTGGGCCACTGCAGGCATGTGGCTGCACTTCCAGAATCAAAAGTGAATGTCTGTTCACTTATCGGTTCAATCTATGCATCTTAGACAAACCTAAGAAGATGAATCTATTCAGGCTCCGGCTTTTTGGCCGTCTGTCCTTAGCCTTAGAGAAAGGAGCAAGAGGGAATTTGATAACAGGTCTTCAAACAGAAAAAAAGGCTGCCGTTACACAGACGATGATGATCAACTAATCTGTGTGCAAAGGGGACAGGGCAAGTAGTAATCGTTTCAAGTCACAAGAGAAAAACTTAGGTTGAATATTAGGAAGAAGTTTCTAATTTTGAGGGTAGATAAGTACCAGAACAGATTATCTAAAAGGGACTGTAATATCTCCATCATTGGAGACTACGTGCACATTAGACAAATTTGTTCCAATGACAAAAAAAATATAATCCTGCACTGAAAAGAGAGGACTGGACTATACAAAACTAGATGACCACCCTGAGGTCCCTTCCAGACCTCTTTTCCTATTATTCTACTAGGAAATTCAAAGCTGCTGTGAGATTGCATGTGCACTTATTGTGGCTAACATTGAGACCAGTGGATATCTAAAACTTTTCTTGGAGGAATAGCAAAAAATATGGCACCTCATTGTATTGTAAGAGGGAAAATCAGGAGAGAGACCACAACATTTGCCCTACATGGAACAGAGACCTCAAATGTTACAAAATTAACTTCACAGCCAAAAATGAAGGAAAAAAAAATCAAGCTCATTTCATTTATTTGCAATGTTAGGAATGATGAAGTCCCAGGAATCTTTTCAACCCTCTCCATCATGCTTAGAGAGGATTCAAGATGCACCAACAGTTAATAAGAACAATAACCAAGAGGGTGATGGAAAAATGTCCACAATAGAAGTTAATTCCAAAGAAATAAAATCAATCCATCCAGCAGTAGGAGGAAGGGTTTCCTACAGTGAGCACCAATATGTCTACGGAATAAGCATCCACAACACAAGGCTGCTACTCGCCGTTTTTCTGTTAGTGAGGAAGTGCCAATGAGAAGTCAACTGCTTCTGCAAAATTAGTTCTTCCTTAGTTGGTCCTCAAGTCTCGGTAATTATAATATTTTCAGCCACAGCCACAAAGGCTCCTAACTCCAAGATGAAGAACTGCATGTGAAAGAGCTACAGTGACGAGGGAAAAAAAGTGACAATTTTATTGCCAAATTAGAAGCTCATCCACAGGTAAACAAGATCTGGACCAGGTGAGCTGTTCTGCTCAAGGCAGAATTTCCCCTTGTTTATGGTTAAAATGGTTAAAAATAAAGAAGCCTCCATGCCACCACTAGGGTGGAAAGGGCTTTGAATCTATAGAAAATTATTACACTCAGGCTTCTACAGGGAAGTCTGCATTTGGACTAATTACAACCATGAGCCGTCACAAAGTTAAGAATTGCAACAACACTTATTTTCACATCGGTTTACCACAGACATCCAGCAGTAAAAACCGTGTATTAAAAACAGGTTCACACAGTCTTATGAGATGTGTGAGGTAAAAAGCATCTGTTCACCTCAACCATGAAAACACAGCCAAGCCAAGAGGCCTTTCATTATTGCGCTACGAAACTACAAAGAAAGAATATTCCATCTGGCTTTAAAGAAATAAAAACTCCCATTCTCCTAGTTAGTGCTACTAACAAAAGCTTTTCAGAAACAGTGTGTTGTAATAAAGACTCTGCATCCTATCCACGCGTACACTATCATGCCCTGTCCTATCACATAGTGTAGCCAGCTTTAGGGAAGGGTTACCTTTGCAGCTCAAGAGACAACCTCATATCAGAGTATTTAGTTTCACCTTGTCCCATACAGCACAAAAGGGTACCATCTACAGTATATATTTATTATCGCCACCCAGAAACACGCACACACTCGTACATATAAAAACTAAAGAAAACTCATTACATACAATGTATAAAACGTATGAATGTGCTCAAAAATGCACAAAACCCGCTTTATTTTCATACTTCAGAAATGCTCAATATAGTCATAAGACGTATGCATGGCTCTGACTACTACTTATCTACCCACTTCACTGGAACAGGACTCAAATTTCAGGAGAAGGAACTAGCAATAGATCCACTGGGTAGAGAACTGCTCTTCTCGTTTTGTACCACCCGAAGAGGATTAAGCCAGGCCGCGAAGGGTAACAATTTTGTGAACACAACTTTTTCTGAGGGGAGGGACTTTTTCTAACAGTGTATCCTAATGCACAGTTGTGCATTAGCAGTACACGAGAACCATATTCACACTGTCCCTCAAGGAAATAAAGACAGTCTCCAAGTGACTGAATATCAAAACATACTAGATATGATCCAGTAAGTAAGTCACAGTTTTCTGTGCAGAGATGTTGAATAATCAAAACTGATCCCCAGGTACAGTGTGGCCTAAGGCAAGACACAAAATAGAGGGTAGCGGCATATACAAGGAGGGAAAAAAAAAATCAGTGGTACTGGGTAAGCACATAACTGGGTTTGGATCAGATTAGGCCAATCCTGTATCCTCTCTTTGTAACTAGCAAAATTAAAACCCCACTCCCATGCAGCAACTTCTTCCTGTCCCTCTAGGCTTGTACCTGTCATAAGGCAACAGAAGAACAGTCATGAGGGGCTCTCAGTTGAAAGCCCTTCTAACTAACCTGACCTGCTCCAGCTGGAGACAACTGCTACAGTAAGTCAGGGTTAATCAGAGTGACATGAGTGGGAGAGGAAGGAAAACCCATGTGCGCTGAAACCTCACTTCATTTTGAAAACATGAAGTGGTATTTAGTATCCATGTTATCCAAACCAGTATGTTTCAAATCTTTGCCTAAACTGGAAACATATTATTGATCGAAATGAACCACATTTTGTAGTGCACAAGTTAATTTTGCTATTTTAAATTAAGCTAAACTTAAAAGGAAAGGGATGATTTAAAAGGTCTACTACAGTGGAAAAAGACAATCAACTGGAGCATTAATCAAGGAGTTAATCCTCCTCATCTTTTCACCAAAACACTATCTAGCATGCACTGTGACTCTTCTGAAGAGAAGCCAGCATTACACAGACCCATAGTTGTTTATGGGCCAGAAGTTTACCTGCCACAGTACAAGGCATTTGCAACTACAGATAACTAAATAAAAAGTGTTAACTGAAAAAGGCAGTTTCTCTGAGCCCATTTATGAGAAAAGGCAAAGAAATTAAATGTTATGTAGATCCTTCTCATCCTCCAGTCCCTCCGATGTTTTGAAATAGTGGGGCAGTGACAGAGACCAAACACATACACACACTTTACACCATATACCTCTTCTTCTTTGGCTTGTGTTTTAGCTCCTCAGTGTTCCTGCTTCTGTAAAACACAGCCACCCAACTCCCCAAAAGTTTAGACTTCTGTGCTTTTTCCAAGTGCAGCACTGGAGCAAGAGAGACATGAGATAACGTGGCGACTGCCCCCTTTCTTTTTCTTCATCATCTGTTCCCTGGTTCCAATGGTATCCAAAAAACAAGCAGCTTTATCTCCGATGCAGATTCTCACTTCTTCTCTGCGATTAAGACAGACAAAAAAACCCAAAAAAACCAAACCAAAGCTACCCATGATTTTCCTCTCTTCAGAAGTCAAAGACTAATTCTCTGCACTTTCCTTTCCATAGCCTGTGGAAAAAGGTGCAGCTTCTACAATCCATATTTACAGGACAGACCAATTAGTGAATGAATAAGAACAGACAAAAAAAATAAAAGAGGTACGATTCTAAACTAGAACATAAAAGCAGAGTGCTCAGAAACGAAGTGGAGCTTCCTTCTGAAGTTCAACCCCTGGATTAGTGTTTGTCTGTACAGCTGTGTGCAAACAGTTGCTAAAATATTTCTGACCGGCAGTAAGCTTGCTATTCTTTTATACAATGGTATTGAGAGAACAGTGACTGTGGCGGCTGCCCGTAAGAGTTTCTGCCGGTGTATTTTCACTTAAAGGTGTGTCAGGAGGGACGAGGAAGGTGCTGCTATCAGCTGAGTCTTCCAGCTCTACTGGAGAAGGACCGACTGAAGGAGGAAGAGATTCCTCTGTGAGCTGTGGACAGACATCACTGTTTCCTAGTGACGGCTGACTGCTCTGCACGGTCTGAGGGAGAACTCCGTCTGCAAAGAGGAAAGGCAAGAAGAATCAGAAGAATGCATACCAGACTGCACCCAAATTTATTTCCCGGCTAGCTTAGCTTCTCTGCAACAGCCTTGTAAGCATCTAAGTGCCACTCCCCTCTCTCCGCTTGTGAGAAACACACTGCTTAGTTTAAAACTGGAGATGTACAATTACAGTTTACAACTTAATATATGAATGGAGCCTGATCCAAATCAAAGTAAAGTCTCAGAACTATTGACAGATATGTTAAATAAAGCTGGATTTCAGGGGAAAGGGCCCTTTCCCAACTTCTGGGGTGTTCTACTTTTTAAGAGGCACTTTTCACCATTAACTTCCAAAACATTAAACAAGCAACACATTACACGGATATATCAGACCGACCCAAACAAAGTTCACTGTAAGCAATAAAAGAGCATGCAGATTGGTGTTGGGTCATAGTAGCTCCAAATTCAGAGTAGAGATACGATTGCTGAATTTTAGCTTGCTGTTTGGCTAAATTTTGGTTGTCGATTTGCAGAATTCCCAAATAGCCAGAGAAAAGAAAATGGATGGCAACCTCCAGAGCAGCTATAAATACACACACACACGTGCAGACACCAGAGTACAATTCCAGTCTATGTTAGAATTCACTCTGTCAAAAAGTGCAAGGATGCCCAAACAAATTGGGCATGTACTTCATGTGGGCTTGCACAATGAGGGCCTTTTTAAAATATATGGAACGTAGCTGAAATTTAGTTTTTTTCTTACCTGAACAGTATTTCTAATGTGTCCTTATAACAAGGTATTTAGCAATTTGCGGATTTCATTGGACTCTGACAGGCCACGCTGTGAGTGCTTCTGCTATAGCATTGAACTTGGAACCTCTGGGCTGTCAACTGTGCATGTTGGAACCCACATCCCAGCCCCCACTACTAATGTGCTTAGTAGCCAAGGGCTAAAGTGACTCAGGTGGATTTATAAAAAAAGTGCATGTTTTCTCTCAGCTCTGGATATGGTGCAACAGTTAGTGGCGACTTACAGGTGACCGCATACAATGCGCAAAGCAAGGACTGGAGTTCCCACCACATAAAAGGCTTGTATGAATGAGTGAGCTTAACACCATGCACCATCCAAAGGGCAGTCCAGCACCAAGAATGCCCCCACCCCCTGGCAGCCAGTCATGCACATCCCTCAAAGTTGTTTGTCTAGGGCCTGTTTGCTGAGCCAATTCCAGCTGCCAAAGGTGAGGTTTCCTATACAAAGCTTAGCACAGACATTTTAAAGCAGTCAAGAAGTTTGCAACATGGACACATACTAACTTAGAGACCCCCCCCCGCCCCAAAAAAAGCTTAATGCCACAAGTAATAAGGCTTTTATTAAAACTCTACTACACACAGATCAGACTCTGACACCTCTCACTGCTCCTCTCTCACAACTGCAAAAAAACTAAATTCCAGTTTGGCATTCTCTCCCCTTTAAAAGCAGGCTGAGAACATTCCCCCGCAGCAGTTAAACCAGCAAATCCACAACCACATACCTGGAGTAGAACAAAGGATACTGTCTGGATTGATGGAAGCCTCATAGGGAGGAGGCGGGTCATCCGGATGCTGAAGATCTGGATATTTGTAAGCTGTGTAGGGTGGTGGAGGGTCATGAAAATGAAATGCCCCCCCTTCACCATCATCTGAGAGATGCAGTGGAGTAAGACCAGTTCCAAACCCATCTGGACCATAATCAAAGCCAGGCATCCTGCGGCCCAAATTGAAGTGGTGCACTGTTCAAAAGGACAAGACACAAAACTGTTTTTATCCCATTTTCCATCCCCTGGGTTTGCAATCATGTTGAGCTCCTCTTTCAATCCCTTAGAACTTAACATGGATTTGTCACAAGTCACCAGGTCACTACTTTCAACCTTCAAAACATCCCTAGAACAACTTGTGTGCTGCAATGCTTAAGAAGTTAGTACAGAACCTACACAGCCCGAACATATCACCTTACTGTATTTACACAGCAATGCCCAAGCCAACCCTGTGCCCGTATTTTTATCCTTATCCTCACTTGTGTCATCTAGATCCTAAATCAAGGTCTCCAAAGTAGGAAGCTCATCTACTTGCCTTAGAAAGTTTCCAAGCACACTGCTTGGCCTGGTACCAAGAGCTGGAATATCAGTTGTATTATCCAAACAGTGAATAATAGAAGCATATTATCAGACCAGTGCCAAGACAAGCTAAGTCTTGGCTGCACAAGCTCTCACAGAAATCAGGTGCAGTTACCTCCCAACTTGTTCACCTATCAATTGTAAGGCATGAGTAACAACTGACAGCAGCACAAAAATCTCTGAAAAAGATGAGAGAACCAGAGTCTTTTAAATTCACAACTGCTACACAGACAGAATAGTCATATTCAGATATAACCAAAGACCAAGGGAGTACCTATGAAGATTTCCATTTCCACTAGTTTTCCTGAGATGTAAGATTCGTCCTTCGACCATGCAGTGACTTACCTCTAAAGCATGGGCGGGCAATTATTTCAGCTGGAGGACCACTTAATGAATTTTGGTGAGCTGTTGAGAGCCACAAAGGTAGCCCTGCCCCTTGACAGGTGCTCTCCCCCTCCCCCTGGTCACCATCTTGGGACCAGAAGTCCTGCCGCTAACCCCTGACCTTGCCACCGGACATCCCTCCCCTCCCCTCCCCTCCCCTCCCCCCGAAAGTACTGCATTTGGGAAGGGGGTTTCCCCACCTTGGCACTGGAACAAAAATAAATTATATACTAAAAATCAAACATCCACAATACAATATTTTAATTTTATTTTTAAATATTTTTGTCCCGATTTGTGTGTTTGTCGTGTATATAGAGGTGATTGCATAACTCAAAATGAGGTCTTACACTTATATATTGTGGGGGCGTGGGTAGGTGCCCAGCGCAGGCTCTGGGCAGCTGTAGCAGGGAGCACTGGGCAGTGGCAAGGGGGAGAGGCTGCTTTTCCCCTGCGCTGAGCAACAGTTTCCGCCTGGATAGTGCTGCTGCTGCCGCCGCTGTTCAATGTGAGCAGGTGAGTCCAGAGCAGATGTGGGGTGCGCAGAGTCGGGGCTGTGCAGCGCAGGTCCCCACTGATACCACAGGGCTGGGGCCAGCACCATCAGCAAACAGAAGAAGCTGCCACTGCCTGGTCTGCCTAAAAAGGCAGTCCAGCTGCGAAGGCACCCCAGCCCCATTGCATGCTCAGGGAGCAGCAGATGTGCCACAGCCGGACAGTGCCTGGGCCAGGTGGAACCGAAGGACCCACCACAGACATGACACAGACCCTCCAGCAGCCCTATTTTGCCCACCCCTGCCCTAAAGCCAGGCCACTTAACTCCAAGTGCATCTCAACAACAGACTACTTACAATTAGCTCCAATCAAGGACTCTATGCGCTCCCTCCGTCTCTGACGCAGCCGGTGGACCATGAAGAGCAACAAAGACAAGATAAGGAAGGAGGAGATGCAGCTCACTATCAGACGCATTCCACTTGCCATAGAGTCAAACAGGCTGTTCCCATCTGTTGTGTGAAGAAAATATTAATAGGAAATTTTTTTCTTTTTACTTTGACAGAGACTCATGTCTTCTAGTCCTGGAGAGGGACACACTTCAAACTTATCATATAGGTATGAGTTTAAAAACAATAATTTCATGAACTTCTACTGAATCTGGATTTCTTTACGATCTTTTCACTTGAGCAGCCAAGTGCAGACTCAGGTCTTCGGAAAAGCAGAAGTTTAAAGAGCATTTAATCTGTTTGCACATGAGCAGACAGAGCTGTGCTACAATGGAGTAAAAGATAATACAGCAGCTAAAAGAAAGTCTTAGGTATTAGAAAAGACAAATTTTATTTCTACTTCTACCATAGGCTTTATGTTCAACTTAAGGCCACTCACCTAATCTTTTTTATTTCCATCTGTAAATATGGAAATATATTACATACCACCTATGAGGGAACAGAGACATCCTAATCCTATTTTACATTTCTGTTTTGGTAGTGATGTTTATTGCCACATGCCTCAAAAAAGTGGCTGAATATTATCATCATCTCCATTTAAAAAAAAAAAAAAAGAAAGATCACCCTCTCCCTCCACCCCCACACAAGTTGAAAGAGGCGGCCAGAAGAGTACACCCTTCCCCCCACCCAAACCACTGTCCCCTTCCAGGGGACAGCAGCCAGCAGCCAGCTGATCAGCACAGTTCAGAGGTCCCAATATACCAACCACATCCCCTCATCACTACCTGGCCCATCAACTCACAAATAGCTGCAAAACTCCCCAAGCATTTTCTTCCTCATTAGCTGCAGAGGAGCTGGGAGAATGTGCTCAGGAAAAAGCAGAAGTTGCATGTAGTTTACATAAAAATAAAAAATGAAAATCAGCATTTGCTGAATGTACTAAAACACCAGAGCACCACTGTTCACCTATGCTTTGGGTGTCCACATTTAGCTGGTTGTTCACTTGTAAGAATAAAAAAATTACAATGTTCAAGGTCACCTTGAAACAAGCTGTTCATCTGATACTGTTCCATCCAAATTCTATTTAGAAAGCTGCAAACCATAAACTTCCTGAGCAACTTAGGGCTGTAGAAATTAAACTTCTGTGCTAGAAAATCTTTGGAGTTTGACAGCTTTGACCCAAAAGGAAATGTTACCATGAAACACTATTTACCATGGACTGAACTCTCTAGCCTAGATTCCTGAACAGTGCAGATACTGTCCTTGGTCCTACCTCCAAAACTTAGTAAGGCTGATTTTGAAGCCAGCTAATAACATTTGATAAAATACAGGCACGTTTTAAACCTTTAAAAAGGGCTTATATTTTTAAACAAGCTCAATATATACTGATCTGAACTAGATCCAGTCACTATTCATATTGAGTACTTTTACACATGCTGGTGGGGAAGGAGAGGCTTTAGAGTGGCTCCAAGAGCCACTCTACTTAACGTGCTGCAGCATCTCATGCATCAGCATCCCCATGCTTTAAAATGGTAATGGGGGTGCTTGAAATAAAACTTGTTCAACAAGCTTTAGTTCAAGCTCCCCTGCCATTCTGAAATGCAGGGGCATGGATCATGAGATGCGGGAGGCTGCTGGAGTGCGGTAATTACCACATACAAGTAGACTCAATTAATAGAGTCTGCTCTGACACTGTAATCACAGCATTGCGCTCGTGTACAGTCACCCATTGAGTTTTTATTACAGCTGCTCTTTTTTTTTTTTTAAACTAAAACAAGTTGGTTTAAAAAGTTATGTTTTAAAAACATGCAAGATGGGATGCGTGGATATGAAGTGCTGAACCCAGGCATGCATAAAAGCACTTATCACAGCAGAATTTCAGTGCTTTACATGTACAAGTGTTAACAGATATATAAACTCAAACGTGAGTCAGCTCTATTCTTCCTTTGCAAGCTCTGCTATTGTATGTGCTTGTTATGGTTAGGGACCTACTGAAACTGCGGCAGAAGTGCACTGCACAGCAGCTCCTTTAATTTTGTTTGTTTCACCCAGGAAACCCCCTTTCCTCCCCCCACCCAATTGGCGGAGGGGCCCTAGCAGCCCCCCTGCTTGCTGTCAATCAGCCAGCAGACAAAAGCTGTGGTTTTAAATATACCGCATGTTTGCCTCCCAGCACCCTGGTGGCACTACTGTTTTGCACAGCAAAATGAGCAAAATTAAAGGAGCCACCACGCAACGCACTTCAACCACAATTTCAGTAGGTCCCTAGTTATGGTTATCTAGTGAACACTTGGCAAAGAGGCTTGAAATACAACCTTATGACAACAAGCGCTGAACTCTTCCTGATCCCCACTCCAGAGTCCTACTGCTGCTGCTGAAAGGGCTCCCCCACTTCCACGCACAAACCTTTTGCCATACTGTGCTAGATAAGACCATCTCCTGTGGCAGGTCACAAACAGCAGCAATAACCAAGGGCCTGTCTACTAGGGGCTTTATCAGCATCTGAATCTGAAACCAAGCAAGGAGCCAGCACAGGCCACACGTGGGTTTCCTGGCTCATTTTACATCAAGAAGGAGTTTCCATGAACTTCTTGCCTAATCCCAGATAGAAGCTATTACAACCATGCAACTGGAGATGGCAGATAGGTCGCAATGTTCAGTCACTGTCACAAGAACAGCCAGATTACTCGAGAGCTAAAGTTGAAAGGTATTTTTGACGATTGTTACCTGCATGTTCAGGGTAAGCGACGAGTTCATCAGGATTCCAAGACAACACGCTGTCTTCATTAGCAGCAGGTTTATACCAGTTGAGGACCAAATATTGAGACAATATTTAAATGTTTCCTGGATTCACCTGAAACCAGGTGTTTACCCACATTTTCATGTCCTTCACAGAGGCCTGACTGCCTACACTATGATAAAGTACATGCATATTGCTGTTAATAAAAATCAGGGTTCACAGGGACTTGCAATCCTGACAAAGCCTTGCCACCCACCCTCTTGGCAGGTACTTTGTTTCTCAAAATGAACTGCAAGTCCCCAGCCCTTCTGATACCATGCAAAGGCACTGTATGAAAGACAGGCACTATTCTGCTTTCAGACTCTGAAAACAAATCAGTTCAACAACACACAGTACCACTAGACTCAGAGACCATGTATAAGAACAGCCAGAGAACAAAAGCAGCTATTATGTTATGCTAACCAGCATTTCTGACTGAGCACTATTTTCATTTTTGTCACTGTATAGCAGGGCTACTCTTCATTCCCTCACCACACTTTTTTTTTTTTTAAATCATGCCCTGTACTTTCTGATAAAACACCTTAGAAAATATCCAAGATAGACAGAACTGTCTTATTTGGTTTGGAGTTTCATTTGCTCCACGCTCATTATTGTCAAACCTGATCCTACAGCTTTGCAAGTACATTTGAGATCCACACAAGGCAACTACATGCCTTTCAACGTTCTCCAATCTGCAGTAAGTGGAAACTAAGGCAACCAAAAATACCTGGCAATTTACTCCTTGCAAAGCAAATCACTTTAATACACTATATACAGAGCTGTGCATTCCCTGGTCGTCTGTGCTAGATTTTATGGGTCAGTGATTTCACAGAGCTTCATTAGCATAGAGAAGCAAGGCTGGAAGGGAGGCAGATGAATATTTTCAGATACAAAAGTATTCTATGACAAACGATAAGATCCACTGGAGATTTGCTAGGTGGAATTTCCACACACACCCTTTAAAAAAAATGTATTTTACACTTAATTTGATTCCCGGACAGCTCCTTTGTTAGTGACATCAATGTAGCAAATAAAAATGTTCTTCTACTGCTCTGCAGATGTAACCCTGTTTGATCAAGCTAATGATATTAGGTAATAAAACCACTGTCCAACAAGGTTGTAAAACACATTTAGGCACAGGATTTTTTTACTACATATTTAAGATTTCATCCTCTGAACCTCACCCTCGGCATCAATATGCTCCTGCTTGTTTTTATAATATAGCATATCGCAGCCAACTGGCACACAGCAGCTTGGCTTTTCATTAAAGAGGCCAACTACAAAGCCTAGATTCTCACCAATAGATTTGCTCACGTAGTCACCAAGTGTCTCCCACTTCTTGTTTGCAAACCCCTGCAAACTCAAACACCTCATCAGCTCCTGCCATCCATATCCAACACCTTACATGGAGCCCGATGCAGCTCTAGTTATCCCTTCCCTTCTTGCCCCGACTGCTCTTGTGGTTGCCTGGCAATAGCAGCACAGTAAAATTTTGCCATGAAAAAGTGAAGCCCCTTTGTATAATGGAGAGCTCATGTTTTTTTCTCAGCCTTTGGCAGAAGATTTCCCAATGACAGCAGCCTTTGTTTCCAGGGCAGTTTGGAAAGCGGTTTCCTCCAAAGGTATTAGAAAACCCTGTACTTCGCACAGCTTTAGACATCACCTGACTCCCCACCACAATTCTAAACTATTCTGGCTCGCTCGGCTTCATCACAAATAGCGGTTATCCAAGTATGTATCACATGCACAGATTTATCTACCGCCTTAAATTTAGCTGTATTAACTGAATTTAATAAAATCAGGAGAGAAAACCTACCTCCAATGTTAACTTGTTAAATACCTCAACTTCCTTTTCTGCCTCTCCCCCAATTTTCTACATTTAAAATTAACGTATACCATTTTCTCTAGTCTCTTCCCAAGACAATTAGCTTTATCCAATCCTTCTAGCTTTTCTCCTCATCCACCTCTCTACTACTCATCACAACCTTCTCCCAACAGGTTAAATAAAAAATATGGAATGAAAATTGGACCTGCATAAAGCCAATTATCTAAAGGTGCCCCTTTAGTCTCATTTACTGTGAAGGAACAGCAGCACAACAGCTTTCCTCTTCTTGCTCACTGATAGAGTTCACTGGTCATTCTCAGTTTAAAAAAGCACATCCTAATTCTGCTGTGCTTTCACAGATCCTTTAGACTGGCCACAGCTTCAATCCTCAGCTCAGTTCTGAGTCACAGACCTCATTCACACTACCCCAGCTGTGATTTGAAAGGTTTGGCTAGAAAT